AATGCTTCGCCACGTGATAATACAGACTGCCCCAAAAAACAGCTTTAGTGACTCAGCGCTACGTGACATAATTTGCCGCTTTCAACCCCTACTACTTTGTTCGCAATCAAATTTGCGAGTCGCTGAAAAAAAAATGAAAGCCATTTACAACTAACGCCGAATTAGAGCGCAACTCCTGAGGAGGAGGAGGGGAAGGTACGGAGAAGGGGCTATGCCCGTCTTCCTCCCCGAAGGAAAAATCCATCAATGTAACCCTGTTTGGCAGTCAATGTTTTCTAGTGGACCGCTGACTGTGCCTGACTGGACGTCAAGCATGTCTGATTGGCCAACAAGTTACTCTGACCGACAGTCAAACTCCAGTCAGACTCCGCTTGTCGGCTTTCTGATGGTTTCCTGGTGGCAGTCGGCCGCCGCGAAATGCCATCAGGATGTCTTGGTGGCGATTCTGATTGTACATCGACTGTCTCTGACTGTACGTCAAAACGCTTTGAAGTGCAGACAGACGTACGGTCAAAGGACGTAAAGTTCGTTCGGATACCACTTTTTCGTCAAATCTATGAATACGAAAAGTAATCCATGCACGAGAAAACGATTTCGGGACGTGAGCCCATAAAACAGCTGACGTTAGAGATATGACACGCAACCGACCTTGATCAGAAGTCCGCCGAAGCGCCAAACACGACACTTCGCTTTTCCCGTAGAGGCTTCGCCGAGCTTTCATGAACGATTGCTCTCGACTCGTTTTGTTTGCCCGCTTGCTCCAACCTGTTGATCCTGCGCGGGCTCTACAATGTCTCATGTTTTAGTAGAATTTCTGCTCGACAAGACCCAGCCTGTTGTGAGTTCCGACGATGTAAGGGACTTTAGCGGTGTAGTTGAAGACAAGGTGTACCAGGTCTACTGGGCCGGAGACGCGCGAACAAAATGATCGTTCTACGACGCGAAAGCACTCTACATGGCAGGTGAGTAGAACTGAAGTACGGCGAGTGATGTACGAGTGCTTTGCGTTACATGCTGACGGCTTAACTGCATTTGCAGCCGAAGCATCTCGTATAAAACGAATAGTCAAATCGGGTTTCCAAAGCGGTGTCCGATGTCCGATTTGTCCGATGTCCGATTTGTACGCAAGTGGTCGCGGGTTCGATCCGCGGTGGTCCTGCTTTTTTTTTTCTTTTTTTTTTTCTCGAACTTTTTGTTTTATCGAGGCCTTTGGCGATATTTATGAGTGCGTATAGCTTTACTCTTATATAAATGCTGCCCTTGTTGATGAAAATCCCTTGGTAGTGGCAGTCAGACGTCATCTGATGGACCATCAGATGACGTCTGATGGTCTATCACGTTCCACCAAGGCCGCTGACTGGCAGTCAGTGTCCCAAATTGCGTACCTTGATGGAATTTTCAATAGGGTCGCCTGCTCGCCCCCATTTAAGAAAAAAATTTCCGCCAAATTTAGCGCAAAAATTCCCCGCTAGATTTAGTGAGGAGGAACATTTTTCGCTAGATTTAGCGAGGAAATTTTTCAATTAGATCTAGCGGGGAAAAGTTTTTACTAGGTTGAGCGGGGAAAATTTTCCGCTAGATTAGCGGGAAGTTTTTTCCCCAAAATTTCGCGCAGAAAATTTTTCGCTAAATTTAGCGGGGAAAATTTTCCGCTAGATTTAGCGGGGAACTTTTTTCGCTAAATTTAGTGGGGAATTTTGCCCTTATATATAGCGGGGTAAATTTTCCGCTACATGTTGCGGGGAAAATTTTTCGCTTTACTTAGCGGGGAAATTTTCCGCTAGATTTAGCGGGGAAAATTTTCCGCTAGGCTTAGCGTGAAAATTGTTCGTTAGATAAATTCAGCGAGAACAAATTTCCGCTAATTTTCGCAGGGAAATTTAGCGGGAAAATTTTTCCGCTGTTTATTAGGGATATATACCCATCATTCCCTGCGCGGTTACGCCGACGGCGAGGGCGACGCCGACGCCGACACCGCTCACGGCAGAAACGAGCGCCTAAAAGCTGCGCTCTAAAACAGAGGATAAGGCTTCAACAAGACCATCTTCCCAAGTTTTCGGTCGCGTGATAGTACCACCCCATCTTGTTAAAACATGTGTAACTCTTTGCCACCCCATTATACCGACTGCAATCAAACGCAACTTTCGGTGACTCAGAACTAAGTGCCACTTTCCACCGCTTTCTATCTCTGCTGCCAGGACCGGGATCGAATTTACTAGCCTCGGAAGAAAACCAGAGGCAAAGGCTTGAACAAGACCATCTTCCCCAGCATTCGAATACTTGAGAGTAGCGCCGTATCTTGTAGACACAATTCTTGTTGCCAAAGCAATATACAGATTGCCGTGAAAGCCAACTTTTGGTGACCCAGCACTAGGTGCTACTTGAGGCCGATTTCGAACCCTCCTATTTCTATCCCGATCAATGTTGATAGCACCTGAAACAAATCTCGAGTTAAGGCTTGAACAAGGCCATCTTCCAGTGTACAATCACTGGACAGCAGCACTGCGTCTTGTCGACACACGTCTAACACTTCGCCACACCATTACAGGAGTGCCGTCAAAGCCAGCTTTCGGTGATTCAGCACTTTGTGCCACGTGTCGCCGTTTTCTATTTGCGCAATCACAGGGTTCTGAACAAAACCAGGGGCGAAGGCTTTCTCAGGACCACCATTCCTAGCATTCGGTCACTTTACACCAGCGCCATATCTTGTCGACAAACTTTTCACCTCACCATTATGTAAGCTGCCGTCAAAGACAGCTGCCGGTGACTGAATTGTACCTGTCATGTATTGGGGCTTTGCACTCCTGCTATCACGATCCTCTTCAAATCGGTTGGCCACTTAACGCCACCAGGTGTCCAAGGCGTGGAAAAACCATATTTCAAATCATTCGGTAGCTTCACAGCAGCACAATCTTGTCGACACGTCTAGTATTTCGCGAGGCCACTATAGAGACTGCATTCAAGACCAGCCTCAGGTAACTCAGCACTAGGAGCCACATGTAGAGATGTAATATAATTAAAATATGCCAACCAACCAATCCCTAAACATCTATACCCTACCAAAAATAACGGTTTGAAATCAAACCGGAAATCTAAATCCGGTTTAAAATCAAATCGGAAAGACACACTCCGGTTTGCACAAACCGGGATTTTTCGACTCGGGTTTCAAGTCAAACCGGAGAAAATCCGGATAGACAATCTCCGGTTAGCACAAATCGGAATTTTTCGATTCCGATTTAAAGTCGAACCGGAAAAAATCCGATATACAATTTCCGGTTTGCTCAAATCGGAATTTTTCGATTCCGATTTAAAGTCGAACCGGAGAAAATCCGATAAACAATTTCCGGTTTGCTCAAATCGGGATTTTTCGACTCCAATTTAAAGTCAAACCGGAGAAAATCCGGATAGACAATATCCGGTTTTCACAAACCGGATGTCAACAACTCAAGTTCTAATGCACTCTGGAGAATGCCTGAACTGAAAATCACCCGTTTCCACAAACGTTTGACAAAATCAGTTGAAGTAAAAGTAACTGGTCAAGTCTGTGAACAGGTATACCCTCCGGTTCGCACAAGCCAAACATTGACAAGTCCAGTTGAAATAGTTAACCCGTTATAAAAGGTTAACCCGTTATAAATTCCCATTAAATTCAGTTGGAACCGCAACTGGTTTTAACTGGAACCAATTGGTTTCAGTGGGCTCTACTGGAAGCACACTGGCCAATGAGTCCCACAAATTGGAATTATTTTTCCAGTTGGATACTGAATGGGTTCCAAATGGTTCCTGTTGGTTCCCATTGGCAGTGACCAATTGGTTGTCCCAAAAACCTAATTGTTCGTTTGCGGAATTTTCGTCGTCGTCGTCAGTATGCGCACATACAATACATACATTAAGATAATTCCAATTAGAACTTGATGAGAATTTTCAACTGGGTTGGTGAGCCTCTGAAGTATGGCAACACACATATGGTTCATGAGCAAGTTCACGAGTGTAGAATCGCTGTTAACCTGGAACATTTAATTAATTTACATTAAATTACCACATGCCACTAATACACTCATTAAATATGAGAGGAAGCAGACTTATTGTCATGTGCTAAATTAACTTCACTAGCAGCATATACATTGTCATGTGCTAAATGAACTTCACTAGCAGCATAAACATTGTCATGTGCTAAATGAACTTCACTAACAGTATAAAGATTGTCATGTGCTAAACGACTTCACATATATAAGAGCATGCAAAGACATTAGAAAATAATAATGCATTATTTCTTTTGACAGTCAAGTTGTTGAGTCATATTTATTTACAAGCATTTTAAAAAGCCTAAAAGAAGCACACATACACAGGAAAGCATAAATACAAAGGCTGCAGTATGACCTGAAAAGTTAATAGTATGTAGCAAGCTCACATTTTAATCAAGTTTTCAGAGCATGTAGCATGTCTGAGCAGGTCATAGAATATGGAGCATGTCTGAGAAATTGGAACATTCCTGTGAACTTCAGCCACCGGCAGACAACTTGATATACCGATTGTGTATAGTCGTGTTTAGTTTGGTTAATGACAGGTAGTCTGTGTCGGTGCCCATTATTGCATTTCACGCACGGTAATGTTGTTTCGACTTCTCAGACATGGAAAGACATACAATAGACAATTTGAGCAATGCACGCATGCATTTCTACTCCCAAGATGAGCTTACGTATACATGACATTTTTTTACTTGAATTTGATTAGTAAGAATAATTACAAAAGTTATAAAACAAATAATTAGGTCATCAACAATAAAAAAAAGTATGAATGTTTGCATTGGCATGCCTGCTGCATTACCATCTATTAAAACTACTTAAAGCAGTTATTGTCATTTTGGAATGCACTTTCAATATTTGAACCACTAGTACAGTTAGCAGACGCCTAAATCCATTCTGGTGAGTAGTGCAATTAAACAATCATCAGTTTTGTAGTAGATGTGCCCTAAAAATAACATTCATAAAATAGCGGAATCAAATAAACATTCTTTGCAATATTTACATACACCATGCATACTGTTAGCCACCACAGCTTTAATTACAAGGCTGGATATGGCGGAGCAGTAACAGCGTGATAAGATCCAAGAGTCTCATACAAAAATATCAGATACTGTAAATCAAAATGGTACCCACATAGGCATCACTATACAGAAAGTAAATTAGGTAAATATACATTTCGGACGTAGAAATTGGGAACGTGCCCAATCACAGATGTTTTTACACGACGTCACTCACCCCATGCAGCTAATATATAACATTGACAGAAATCGCGGACGCCGTCAAACTTTTTGCTTGTTGCCATCGATACCGAATGGCGGTTACATGGAATCTTCAAATGTAGGCTGACATAAATTTTTCAAACTGCTTGGTTATTCTGACATTTTTAGGGGAATCCTTTCGAGTCCGAAAAATCAGTCTGCAACTATACAGAGGTGAAGCAAGCTTGCTTCAATCCCGTTCAATGCTGTTCGCCAGGTCGCAAACATACGACACGCTTGCACCTTGGTTCCGAAACTGGAAGAAAAGGCAAGATGCCTTGAGATCCGATGGCTCAACAACACGTACCGCACCCACCCTAGATATAAAGCATTCCTTAATGTGGTGCGGAAGGAGTTGGCTTTCGTTGATCACGATGTCGTCGCAAACAAGGAATACTTTCGAACTTACACACAGGATCTTTCGAATAACCCGATAGTCTAGGCCATGTGTCTGGATAACAGATGAGTCAGACTTCAGAAGTTTTTTGTTTGCCCTGCTGCGAAAGATTTGCCCTTTGAGGACAAATCTCTGGTACTCGGCAGCAAGGGCAGGGCACTCTTCAACATACTCTGCAAGTGCCATCCTGATTTCTGGAGACAAGACGAGTTTTTTAGGGCACCCAAGCAAGCCAACATCACCTATGGAAACGAAGTTGACCAGCTTGGGATAGCCCAGCATTCTGTGGCACACGTCTTTGCCGCTATCAGGCACGAGTGGTGAGGCCAGGAAAGAATCTAACTGTTGTGCCATGAACACCCTTTCCACAATCTGACTGGGGACTGCGTTGGCGCCAGTGACAAGCTTTACTAGGCGGCCATTTCCACTTTCAAATACAAAGGCAGAGTGGCCCCAGAGCGGCCCCATCTGCCGAGCCGCCTCTGCCAGGTGGAGCATCTGGTGAATGTTGAACGTCATGGCTTGATCCTTGTACAGTGTCGCTGTGGAGGCTACAAAGGTCCGCAGTAGAGCATCTGTAAGTAAAAGGTGGTTGGTATTAAGTGATAAAAAACTAATTTCTTGGCTGTGCAGTAAGCATTATGTAGCGTCAATGCATAAAAGATGTTGACACCCTGTCTATTCGGACCTTTACTGAGAATAATATACCAAGACTTTTCGACACTTAGCATGCAATATTCTGATGGCTCTTAAGCAATGCCTGAAACATTTTACAATATTCTACACCTTCCAGTGCTATCCATATTGGCACAATCATCCAGGTTTACCTCAATTAGAATTATAGTCCCGGTCTATCCAAAAGGTAGACTTCTGTTCCTTAGCTCAGTTTAAACATAGACCAATTTCAATGCCAATTGCCTTAACTTCTATGTACTATGTACACATCACGACACTGCTAGCGCAAACACGACATCAGCGCATTTTCGCACTTTACCTCTAAATAATATAAGCAAGCACAAAATTTTATTGCTTACATTAAAGATCTAAATGAGCTCTTTTTGTAGCAATAACTTGGATGACGCCCTTTAGTTTCAAAGAGAAAAACTGGAAAAACCGGCGATCGCTCGTTCGTGCTAACAGTGTTGCACTCTGTACGTACCAAAAAATACCGTGGAAGCACCCACTTCGTTCAAGCGCCCACCATTAACACTTCCCAAACTTGGGGATACTGCAAATCATGCGTTAAGCACCTGATTTGACCGGACAAGTGCCCATCTCTAGATTAACCCAGTTTTTACTGAAATTGGGGTGGGCGCTACTTTGGTATTAATGTGAAAGCATTAACTGGTCCCATGGAGCGAGCAGACGTCATCAGCCGCACCAAACGGCAGATAAATTCCTGAAGCCGTGATCTGAGGCATCCCAGCTCTGAAACTATGCAAAAAGTCATGCAAAACGGCTATGATATGAAGCTGACGTGTGTCAATCTCAATTTGGACCACCCCATGGCACTGCGTGCCTGCACCAAGGCAAAAATGGAAGAGGCGCCGAAAGGATTACATGCGGCCGTGGCGCCGAGAGGTTCAGAAGCAGCCTTGGTGCCGAGGGGATCAGAAGCGGCCGTGGCACGAAGAATGACATTCATGCTTCCGCATTCTCAACTCGTAAGTGCTTAGATGTACCTCGAGTCTTTTTTACCGGTGTTCCAAAAAAATAAATTTCAAACCTAAAATGACCCACAAAAATCAAAGACTTGAAGAGTGAAGCTGTGACTTTTCTCAAATACATATTTTACTGATCCAAGTTACCTATCAAAATCTACTCTGAAATCCCACAACAGAGATTATAAATAAATAAATGCTTGTACCAATATGAAGCCAATAGTCGCTGGGAGTATAAACGTCTTTAATATTGTCATTGAGACAGTGGTAGGTGGAAGTTTTTTGTAGTGGGAGTTGACACTATCTAAATATGTACCTCGGAGACATATTCAAGGTAAGTTACAGCTTATACGTGAATTCTTGGCTTTTGTGGGTTATCTAATTAGGTCGGGCACTATTGGGGAGACATAATGTACGAAGTAAAACGAAAACTATGATACGGATACTGTATCTGGCCCACCTTTTGTTTACAATGTTAGACGGAGACAGGCAGAGAAGCGGTTGTGTTGGCCGTGTTGTCAGTTATCACTGGACTGCCAATTTTTCTGTGGTTATCATCATCATCCCTATCTATGTTCCGCTAAGGGGCAGCATGGGCATTATACAAGAAAGTAGAAAAAAAATCTAGACTTGAATGCAATAACAAAAACAATTACAAACATCTGTGGAATCTTCTATGTTTATTGCGGGTGCTTCTTAGCCTTCAGCTAAAAAGCGCCCAAAGGTTTCTTTTTCCACCAACATAAACAAAATATGAAGTATTCTCAGGTAAAGTGCTTCCATCATGAGAAAGGATGCATGCATTCCATTCGTAAACAAAACTCAACGATTATAATGTCCCGTTGAAGTTTAAAATGGTCACCCAGATCTGACTTCAATAAAATAAGGATGAGCATTGTGACTGAGAGCAAAATATGCTCACAGCCAGTTTATTGCATGTAGTAACAGTGCAATAGCATGTTTGCCCTCACCTGCACGGTCAATTGAGGACGAAGTGAGCTCCTCTCTCAGGAGAAGGTGCACTCCTTCAACAAGCTTGGCCAGGTGCCTCCAGTACCTTGGATGAAGGATCCCAAGTGTACATGGGAGACAGTAGTAAAGGAGCCAATGCCTCCACTCGGACGCCTTCCAGTTGGTGCGAGTTGCCAGGGACCTTGGCAGCCTTGTGACACAGTGGGGAGGCGTGATGGAAAGCAGGCGCCTGTCTAGTGCAGCAACAGAGGAGGGGCTGCCTGCAATATTAAGCAAACAAGAAAAAAACATTTCGCTATGACATCACCTTTGACTTCTTCCAAGGGCTTCAGTGTAGTGACAGTAGTATGTTAAAGGGCAACTTAAGAGGTTCTAACAAAAAACGAGTTAGAGGTGGATTCTAGCGTAGTTTTACACGCTGATTTCGGATAAGTCAACCATTTGGCCGAAAAGTATTCCTCTAAATGCAAAAGGAACACGAAAACGAGCGCCGGTCAGCATCGGCTGAATCGGCCCTACGTTATATGCAGAGCTTTATGCGGTCATTTCGTATTGCTCCTGAATGCTCGCAGGTTCAAATGGCGACCCTGATAATCACCTATCACCTTGTATGCACAAAGAATGGCGAGCCGTTAAGCACCTGAGGTTTAACAAATATAGAGGGCTCTTTACATGACTCCATATGCGTTTTAGCCCTTAGCGAAGTGTGGGGAAAACATCCGTGGGGGGGGGGGGGGGGGGGGGCTTCGAGTCCAGAGGAGTGGCAATGCTTGCAGCCCCAGGCGAGCGGCATTGCATTCTATGCACGTGTGGGCAACCCATACTGGTACGTATCCTAACCTTTTCAGGTTGCGTCAGAACACACAAGAGAGAAAATTGAGAATGTGGGACTGTGCTGAATGAAGTGGCAGTGGCACTTGTTCGGCGCCACTATGGCGCTGCCATGCGACTGCCACTTCTTACTCGCTGACCAAATGGCACTAGCGGGCAAATGTCCACAGACCTGTTGGTGAGTCTGTGAACATTCATCATGATTCAATTTCCTGGAAACCTCATTAGATCACGATTATATCTTACCCAACGGTAACAAATACATAGCATACCACTCAGAATCGCAAAATTTTTTAACAGCAAAAAGCTTCTAACCTTGCGCACTTTGCAAGATCTACGAAATATTGACCCCACTAAAATTCCGTTCTATAATTTGAATGCTTCCTATTGGGGTGAATATCGGCTATGGATGTGTTGCATTCATTATTATTTTCACAAAGAATTTACCAGATGCATAAATCCGTGTATAATTCGCTGCAGATTTATTTGCTTGGCCTATTTTACGCTGGCGTGATTTCCTTTCTCCAATTTATTGCCGTGATTAGCCTCTCATGATGGCTTCCGATTTACGTCAAGCTTATAAAAAGTGATGTGGAGGTCGGCCAGAGCTGGCTTGCCCGAGCCAGCATTTCAGCCGAGACTGCATGGTGAAAAAAAGCACTGGCAGGGTTAGCACACAAGCGGAGACAAATATTGAACCATAACTTCAGCTCTCATGTGCACTGGGCCTTGGCAGTGATTTCTTTCACCCAGTTTCTGCTCAAATGCTGGATTGAGCAAGCCAGCATTCTTACTGCTTCACCATGTTGATTTTGCGACATCCGACTTTGCAAAAAGCAATAGTTAGTTCAATACTTTGTATAACTAAGGACTGTGGTATAACTAATCATGCTGCCTTAGAGGAGCCAACAGCCGCACACAGGGTCGGCATAATCGTGAGACTGTCATGGTACAGAAGACCGAAACAACAAAAACGAATAACAAAATTAAACCACGCACAATCGCAGAAAACCACGAGCAGTCACAGAAAACCAAATGGAGATAGCAGCAAACAAAGCAGAGATGAGCAGACAAGCCGTACATTTACATATAATGTCATCTCATATCACGCCTCTCACTTGCCTCAGAGAGGGCGGGGCTTCGGCGTTATTTTCAAGGCACTGTTACGACTGCTCCTTACATCAGATTGAAAAATAATTTAGATATTTGTGATCCTGAAGGGCACAAAGTGTTTTTCTTCTTGAATACAGAACCACTTAAGTCTCCCTTTAAACTTCAACAACCACACGGTGCATATGCCTCTACATCTCTCTGAACTAAAGATGCCTGATCTGTAACAGTACAATTGTTTTTTGCTTTTTTTTTGTTATATAGTTCAAAGCTCAGTAACTAAAAAACTGCCTGACACTCTCCTTATGTTGCGATTCACCAATGAACTAAATGCTCCATCAGAGCCGCTTGTCTTGTTCCTTCCTTCCCTTTCCTTTGAAGCTGATGGCTACGCGGGCATAAACAAATTAATGTTTGTTTGCTATGTTGTATGTATCCTTGGTACAGAAGGCTGGCTCCAAGAAAACGTTGAAGCCCTAGGCCCACCTACCACATCAAACATTGGTGACTTCATATTTATATGCAGGTTGCATAGTTTGCCTATTAGCAACTCAAGATTCATTTTTCCCCCTTTGGGCTGGTGCAGAACATTGAGCACAATGTCTGGTAACTGAGCAAATATAGAGCTAAATACAAGAACAAAAGCCTTAACATTTGCAATAGTCAATAAATAAACTGTTGCATCTTTCATAAATGTTTTACAAACATTTTAAAATGTAGGATTATAATATACATAAAATCGAAGTATTTTACAGGCACATTTGCAAAAAATGTGATAGTGAATGTTATGTCAATTGTCAATAATCTCACTATCCCCAGTTTTATAAATGCATATAGTGATTGATGTTGCAAATGATGGCTTGTATAGCCATCGTTTGCAACATCCTCTTGTGAATATATAGAACCCGGTTGATAGTGAAATTATCAACAATTTTCCCATGAAAACCTTTACTAAAAGTTAAGAGTATTCCTGCCATCTTACCTATGTAGAACCGCTCGTTGGAGTTTACAGACGACAGCAGCATCTCCGTGATCTGGCGAATGACGCCCAGGAGTACAGCATGCATGTACTCCACCGTGAACCCCCACACCAGGTCAAAGTCTGGAAGGCTCACGGCTGGAGACGGACCCTTGTAGCCGTTGATGACCAAGGAGGACTCCAGGGCCACCTTCATGTCCCGTAGGACACCTGCTGACGTCCTCCCACGTGCATCCTCAAAGGAGAGGAATCTGAGGCTCCCTGAAAATGAGGTTGAAATGACTATACAAAACTTGCAGTGGTAGAACGTTTACATCCAAAGGTCAGATAGATACGTACCATCAACGTAATCTCCCTTGATTAGGCACCATGGGCACCCGTAGTACCCGTTGAACAGTACCATATTCTGCACAGATGCGCGTGCGGGGGCATCCACGCAGCAGCACAAGATGTACGCTCTAGACGAGTGCTGTGTGCCTTCATGCTGCCAGGGGACGGGTTGCATGCTCTTGACACCCTCTACAAACTTTCCAAAAAACAAAGTCATGTTGGGGTGTCCCTTCCCAAACCAAAGTCCAGCAAGCACTGAAACCTGGAATCGTTGAGGCACTGGCAACTCGTTGACAGTGAACTGAATGGGCCAGACGGATGCACCGGAAGATGTAAATACGGGGCTTCCATCAGTGTTCACTGTCAACGTGAGGTCACTGTCCCCCAGGGTCCCCGATGACTGCAGATTCTTGTACGCTTTGGCTTGAGTGATGTCACCGATGACACTGGTGGTAGCACCCCGGTCACTGGCAATCTCGTTCAGCTTTTCGTGAAGGGCTGCTTTGTTGTTCTGAATGACATGATTCAGCTGCTTGCCAATGTCTAGAACAACGAAGAAAGCCCCATCTTTCTTTGCATCTTTGAGGTTGCTAGACGTCTCGCAGGTGGGACAGACGCCATCTTCAGCGGAAACCTCCAAGAGATGATTGCATGACCGGCAGTAGAAATGTCGTACAGCTGCGGACTCCGCCTCGGCTGCAAACAGCTTTCGGAACAGGTACTTGCTTTGTGGGAGCACAGACTGCTCTGGAGCAAAGAATGCATTGACCATAAAAAGAAGGTTGTCAAGGCCCTGCCAGCTTAAGGCTTCACCAGCCACAAACGCCATAATCATCGCAACAGCTGCTGCCTTGGTAGTTGTCGAATGGGGCAGAGTTTGGGTTCCAAAAGCTCGTAAGCCTGCTGCCAGTGCATGTTCTTCACTCATATGTGGTGGTTGCTCGGTCTGTTCCCAAAATGTTGAAGAATCTGCATGTGACTGGTGAGTCATAGTCTCCTCTCCGCTACTCTCTGAAGAGTCAGCGTCTTCCGCAGTGATTCTCGACTGAGGGTCACTGCTGCAGGAATCACAGTCACTCTCGAGCTCGTCGCCATCGCTGGGGACATCATAGACGGGAGAACCGGCTGTTGCTGATTGGTTCCCGCTTGGCACAGCCTTCTTACACCGAGACAGAGTGGACTTTGGTATCTTGAAAGACGCGCCCTTCTCTAAGTAAACAAATCGTCGACGCCGAGTTGCTTCACTACTAGCCATGATAACAAGTCACGGAGCAAACGCAGCCATCAAACCAGGCTTGTGAACACGCGCACGAACAACAGGCAACAGGAAAGAAAAATGTAGAATTGCTGAGGAACAGAGGGGAGCGAGAAGCAGAATGACGCAAATGACGCGACTGACGCACAAAATAAAATTAAAAAAAAATAATAAAAAAGAACCAGTTCGAGTTTCGAACGATCAAAAGTAACGCAGACGACGAAAGCGAAAGTCACGCACAAATACTCCGCCTAAAAATGGTCCACGTAAATACGGAGCAATTAATAGAAGAGCCAATGGGAGAAACACAAACCCGACCACACTTCCAAGACGAAGAACAAGTACGAGTTGCCGAGCGTCGAAACTGAGAGCACTGTGCGGAACAACGAACAACCTCAAGGTAAACAATGCAAAGAAACGGAACAAGCCGAGCCACTGAGCCGAGCGGACCAGTGACCACCGCGGTGGGACAAACTAGCAGACGCAGTCAGAGCCGAAGACCGAATCTATCGAATCTATAATAAGCCAGGGCGATGGCCAGCGTCGAAGCTACGCTGTTTGGTTACATTTTAATCTAATTTTTAGCGCCCCCGAAGCACCGCGCAAATTCGCTTCCCTGCAATTAAGGAATTGTGCGTGCGTGCGTGTGTGTGTGTGTGAGCTTTTCGCGCCGAGAATTCGGGAGTTGCTCGCAGTCGTGAGGGGTTTACTTCCGACGACTTCGCGAGTTCAAGTTTTCGTTAAATCGACGGCTGTATGGTGTTTCAGAGGTCATAAAAATAATATTTAATAAGTTCTACTATTTTTAATAATTAATATGAGCCTTGATGATATTTAGGATTTTCTTCCAACGAATAAACACCAATAACATACCATCATGTTACAGCAGTTTCACTTCTGTTTTCAAGAGAGATATTCCAGGCTCATTACAATCCCGTCCAATCCAATCCAATCCACCTTTATTTTTCGGAGTTGCCGGAACGGCTTTCCTTTCTGGCTCTGCTCTTGCCTGTGCCTCCTAGTCCTAACAGGACCTCTGCTTTGATTTGGGTATCGTTGTTTTCACCTTTTTGTGTTACTGCGTTCTATCTTGTGCACTTCGTTTTGTGCGTTGTGCGTTTTTTTTTCTGGTAGCCCAGCAAGCGTTGCTTTATTCTTTTGACTTTCTTTTCGTATGTTTCTTCTGTTTTCGCGATGTTCTACGCGTACGTACATTACCCCGCCGACAAAGAAAATGCGATCATGCCTGTGTGCCTGATCAAGGATTATAATCCAAAAACGGAGACTGACATCCCTAGTGAACCGGTGCAAGCGTATTGGCGCTCCGAGGCCGGCCTTGAAGAAGGCTACTACGAGGCGAAAGTGGTCCTTCTTGCAAGTAAGTACCTGGCCTTTGCTGTTCCTCTGTTTGCCCTGCGCTGATCTGTTTCCTCAAAGGAAGTGTGTGCGGTTTGTGTAGCTCAGAACTCGATTGCAATACTGGGAAATCGTATTTCCTTAACATACGATTGTGATAAACGCAATATCCAGCGTTACTTCCGACGTAACTACTTTTAATGAGTAAAGTTATTCGGACTCTGTCCTGCACCTCGACCGGAAAAGGGTGTACGCACTACGCGAAACTCGTATAAAACGAATAGTTAAAAGTTTTCTAATAAGCGGTGGCAAAGCATAGTGGCAAGGTTTCTGCTTCATACGCAAGTGGGCGCGGGTTCGATCCGCGGTGTGGGCCCACTTTCTTTTTTTTCTCGAACATTTTGTTTTGTCGAGGCGTTTGGCAATATTTGCGACATATCTTTTTTATGCTTACTTGAATACCAGTTGAACGTTTAGGAAAAGCGATGGAGAGAAAAAAAACAAAGAACCACACTACTGGACTATCAACCTTTTAATAAAACTTTCTTTTCCTCAACACTATCCTAAAAGGTGTCTTCTTCTTCATCTGTGAGATCTTAGACTGAAACTTCCTTTTTCTCGACACTAACCGTAGAGTTTACCTCTTCTTCAGCTGTCGGATCTTACAAAACTTTCTTTTTTTCTACACTTTCGGTAGTGTCAACTTCTTTTTCCTCTGTCGGATCTTGGCATTCAAATAGTCCCGACTTGGTTGCTCCGAGGGGCCACTCCCTGCGGATATATTTTTTTTTTAGGCAAGAGCGCAATGGAGGCGACACTTACGCATTCTTCCCCCCTTTCCTCAATGGCCAGTGACTCGAGTAATCTCCCTTCCAAGCTGTTTCCGGTGTCGTGCGACAAGTGATGTTTGTGAAGTGAGGACCACATTTGCATTCCCGACAATGTGTCGAAAAGTGGCCTGCCGACGTTAGTGTGGCCACAGAGGCTGCATGTTCTCTGGTGCGGTTGTTTATGCACCTCCCTGTTTGCCCTATGTAGCTTTTGCCACATGACATAGGGGTATTGTATACGACTCCTTTTTCACATGGGGCATAGGGTGTTCAATGCGCAGTGCCGCAGGTCGTCGTCACGTTCTGGTCGGTCTCCCGGTTCACCCTACGGCACGTGGCGTACGCCTTGTTGGGGGCTGAGCACACAACGTGGATGCCTTGTCGGCCAGCGATCTTTTTTAGACGATGAGTGATCCCGTGTATATATGGTCCCACTACGAAAGGCTTTGGTGGTTTCTTTTTCGTTGGTTAATTTTTCACCGGATTATGTCGCACTTGCTTACAAAGCTTCTCACATATCACATATCCCCATGTCATGTGGCAAAAGCTATATAGGGCAAACAGGGAGGTGCATAAACGACCGCACCAGAGAACATGCAGCCTCTGTGGCCACACTAACGTCGGCGGGCCACCTTTCGGCGCATTATCGGGAATGCAAATGTGCTCCTGACTTCACAAACATCACTGTCGTCGCACAACACCGGAAACAGCTTGGAAGGGAGATCCTCGAGTCGCTGGCCATTGAGGAGAGTTAGAGCCAGATTGTAGCACATTTTTATCCCGTGAATCCAAATATCACATTCGTTTTCCCTGAAGATGTAACTGAACACAAGAAAACTCGAAAAATTTCCTGCCAGATCTTTTGATTACCAAGTCTATGTCGCTCATGTGGGTAGCACGTGCAATTGCAAGCTTACCAGGTATATTCCCCCACACGTGACACCATTTGTGATGTTTTTTTGCTGACCTTTCTGAAAATATCAAGAGTGCGAGCATGACTATGATGGGTGCTCAATAAGGCACGAGAGAGCGGAGGTTCCAAGAACTCTGGGTGTGATGTCATGCTCAAAGAGGGTGGGACTTCGGTGCTATTTTCAAAATGCTGTGCGACGGCTTCCTACATCAGATTGAAAAATAATTTCGATATTCATGGTCCTAGAGGTCAAAGAAGATGATCCATGTGTTTTTTCAAAAATACAGAACCACTTCGGTTTCCCTTTAAACCGAATGTGAGGGCATCTACACTGGTAGTGCACACTCTAAATTTTTTCACTGAAATTAAAAAAGATGCAACTGCCACAAGGATTGGTAGTCTGAGCACCTACAAATAATTGAAGCATTTGTTAAGAGGAAGAATATGTGTGACGTAAATGCAGCTTCCAGTGACTTACTAAAATAATTGTAATGTTTTGGGCAGAGATTATCAGCAGAGTACAGGGCATAACACAGCACAATCACATGACCGCTAACTTTTCTTATTTTTCTCTTATAATTGAAATGCTGTCATTGAATCCATGGATTTATATGTGGCTTGCACGTGACATCATTCTGCAGTGTTGGCGGTTGTTTTACTTCTTGCAAACTGTGCAGTTCAAGCTTGGTGGTGTAAAATTACTATAGCATTAAATTAACACTAGTGGCTGATATGCCATCAGTATGCCTGACCCTGTCATGTCAGACTGACCTATCTGTTCTGTGGCTCTGTTAACATGTTTTTATCTTTTATTCACCAGAATCGAAGAGGGCACTTCTCGAGGAGATGGCCCACAAGAAGCGACTGGTTATTCCCCAGATTTTTGAGGAACCAGTGCAAGTAAGTGGGTCTGTTGCAGACACAGACTTTTGTTTCGAGTTGGTTATTGTGTTTATGACATTTGATACCTTACTTCAGTCATTATTCGCGATTTGTAATGCTAAAAACCTGAAAAGACGTCTTGGGGATGTCTAGAAGTATTTTGTCGAGCCAGCGAAAAAAATAAAGGAAAGCTAGTTTGTAGTAGATAGACCTATGAGGTGGAAAATAAA